TTCAAACCCGAGTCAGAAATTGTGGACTAATAAAGATGTTAATATAATTGGAGTGAAGTCAAAGTTGAGGGGGTGCCTGCACCCCTGCGCTACAGAGTCAGAAAGACAAGCCTGTGCAGAAACGTCGCTTACCAGATCGAGTCTGAATGAGTCGGGCGACATGCCGCCGTCGACACCATTGCAGAGTGTGCTGACCAACCTATAAGAAAATTATGAGAAAGCGGCTGACTTGTAAGAATTTGATCCAATATATCAGACACTTACTAGCCTATAAGAAGATTATGAGAAGGCAGATAACCTTTAAGAAGTCGACCTGATTTACAAGCCGCTTATCTGCTGAAGCCTTATCTTATCTCGGTCTGATAAGGTTCTTATCATGTGGGCTTCTTATAAGGCACTTTCCAAATTTCCGACATCTTCGACCAACACCTTGGCCATCTTGTCCGAGTTAGTGGGTGGTAGGTCCCCAAGGACTGTGTCCGGTGATTCTGTCAGAATGTCTCGAGATGAGAGCCTGTTCTGGACGTTGTATAGATCATGCAGCGTACCTGGTATCAAAGATGCTCTCCACTTCACTAGAGGCACTAGAGCTGGAGCTCATGGCAGAGGAAGTTCAGCTTCCTGTAAACCCATTTTGAGACTCCCCTATTATCCTGATTGCTCGCTGCGCTCACAATCCTCAGCTTCACGTGACAGGGCGCAGGGATGAGTGGGGAAGCAAACACGAACAAATTCCTCGCAAGGTGGCTGACAGGATTCTGAGGAAAGAATGCTTTCAAACCTGTTCAAGATATGTGCTTTTCTGATAAAAAGTATATGGTCTGGAGGGGATTTTCAAGGGGATTCAGATGATACCAATTTCTTCGTCATTAGTAGATGGGTTTCAGTTTTTCCAAAAGCGGATGACTTCCTAATTTGGACTGTCCGGATTTGGTAGGCTCACGTGGATCGGAGTATGCCGGGCCCGGGCTGTGTCTGCGGAGCGAGCTGAACATTAGGGTCTTGTAAGTTAAGGCGGTTTATGAACCGGTTTATAAACGGCGGTTTATAAACAGGTTTTATAATAGTCCAGCCCAGATCGCCGGTTTATTATTATTAATATTCATCCGGGATCTCGTTGCGGACGACGACAAAAATGTTCCTCTGCCCTCTCAGACTCGTCTCATCATGTTTGGGTCCGGGTCACATACTATGGAGGAAAGACGGGAGGTAGTGTGGTTGGAACAGTTGCTGACATTACATTCGGTCACCATTTTCAGAGATTTACTGGCAGAAAAACCGGTGGCAAGGGCCGGTGCAATCTGGAGCCTTGCAGACTGGGCAGGCGATGGTAAAAAGGTTGCCAGGAAGAAATTTTGGGACGGAAAGTGGAGAAACTCGAATTTTAGGCACTTTGTAGCTGGTGGTTTATAAACACGTTTATAAACGGCCTGTTTATAAACCAAAATTAACAAACCGGTTTATAAGACCCTACTGAACATCGCTGAGTCGAATCCTTTATCGATCGCTGCTGTCAAACCATTCCTAGGAAAGGATGGAGACATCCTCGTGCTCCCTTGTTGCGGGCCCTGGGCTTACAGCTGCAGTACGCGCTTTCAGGCCGCGTACCAACCAAATGCACGTTAAAAGCATCGTCGACGATGTTCGTAGTTATTGCACGATGTTATTTTTTTTTGTTTTGGATGTAATATCGACTGAAACAGTGACTTGATGACTTTTTGACCAATTTCGAGCACTCGAGATGAAGAAAAGATCCCAAGACCAGAGCTGGATGTGAGCTGGTTAATGGTCACTGGTCAACGCCGACGTCCTGGCAGCTTGGGGTTGACGCATCAATCTGACATTCCTACGCTCCGACACAACCGTCGTCCTTTTTCCCAAATTCCATGAATCGGTGAACTTGAAACTTTTCTGGACACCTTATACATGAAAACACTATAGAGACCATTGCCCTGCATCTCGCTGAATTATTCCCGGCACGGAGTCGGCCTGACCTTCGCGATTTCCGCTGCGATCTGGATTGCCAAGAACTGAAAGGGCATCGACTTCAGCCAGTGAACCGGCGCGGCTATCGGACACGCGTACCTTTCCGTAGTAACGCATCGTCTGCAGCTCGCCGCCCTGGAACCATATATGGTCGTTCCCGCTGGGCCGCCAGCACCCGCGCACCTCGCCCTCCGCCTGAGGCGCAATTGAATCAGCGTGGGTAGCTGTGAAAAAGGCGGGGTCTGCATACGTCTAGGCCCCACACGGGTTCGAGGGACGCGGCCTGTTCGGTGCCCAGGATCGTCGCGATGTAGCTGCGTATGTCTTTCTCAAACCTGGCACGATGCGCGTCAGCCAACAACGTTCCGAGTCGGGTACGCGAGAACGAACCCGGTCGCGTAGACGATGACGTCCACATCCAGCTTGGTCCCATCGGAGAAGGCAATGCCGGTGGCCGTGATAGACTCGATTTTCGCATCGGATTTGACTTTGATCTGGTCCGGAGAGGATCAATAACTGCTACTTTACAGACGAAATAATAACTACCTCTCCGCGAGCAATGGCACCGCAAGCTCCAACCTGTTCATTTCATCAGCGCACTGAAGGGACAGGCGCGGTACACTCACGTCAGGATAATGAGCACCAGCGCGACAGTATACGTGCTGTCATGATATTAACCAGGTTTGAAGAGGGCACTGCAGCATATTACACACCTGCTGTATAGAGCCTTCGAGCGTTGCCAAAAATCCGGCCCTGCGCAGGTTGTCATAGTACTCCGGACTGTGTCCAACTTATCAATTCTGGGCACAAATCGCAAGCGGATAAACACACTCGTGGTTATCTTTGAGGGTTTTCAAGCCCAATGCATTCATCGCCGATTGCAACACAATGGGATCCTCCGTGGCCATCACGTCACCAACCTCAACGGGGATCTGCTCGTTCCAGAACGGCGCCAGAAGCGCGGTGATATGGGCCTGGACGTAGATGCGCGTCGGGCCACGCTGCACCATGACGATGTCCGCGCCGGCACGCAAGCAGTCCATCGACACGTCGCACGCGGTCGTGCTCGACCCCACGACGGCGACGCGCTTACCCGCCCACAGCGATGCGTCCTTGTACGCAACGGAGTGCAGTGATTCACCAAGGAAGGAGTCCTACATGCACACGCGTAAAGTCAGAGTAGCGGAGATGTTGGGAAATAGTAGACTCACTCTTCCGGGAAAGTTAGGAATGATGGGCCAGCGGCCAATAACGCCGACTGCAAAAACGATGTTACGTGCAGTGACGACGTCGACGCCGCGGGAACCCTTCAGAGTCACCGTCCACTGCGCCTGTGCATCATCCCACGTCGCTGAGATACATTCGCGGCCGGTATAAGCCGGGAGTTGCAAGTCTTGTGCGTACTTGGCGTAGTACGGGGCAATTAATTTGGCGGGAATGTATTCAGGGTAGTCTCTGGGGAAGGGGATGAACGGAAGCCCGCTAAAGATACGGGTGGTATGTAGCGTAGTGCTCTCGTAGCGCTGATGATCCATTCGATGGGGTCATCGGAACAAAGCGGAACAAAGCAGCTAGGCGTACCTTGGCCCAGCTGTCTCCGATTGTAGGTTCCTTTTCCACCATCGCAAAATTGACTCCCAGAGCTTTGAGGTACGCTGAGATGCTCAGTCCACCATGCCTGGAGCGAGATGAGTCCGACAGTCAAGTGCGAGACAGAGACTCACCCTCCGCCGACAACCAGAACATCCAGCGATTTGGGGACCGTGGAGGGCGGAACCGAGGGGATTTCCGCAGGCACCTTGCTCAAAGGCATTGCATCCAGTTCTTGTATCGCAGTCGTAACCGTGAATATTTTGACGTCCCCGTTCTTCATCCGAACGAGTTTGAAGCCTGCGGTACATTGTGCATTTGGGTTTCCCGTTTTGAAAGCGAAGGGGGCGCGGATAACGGAGAGTCCGTTTGGGAGGGATATAATAAGACTGTAGATTCAGCTAGGTTGGAAGGTAAAGTAAAGTAAAGGAGGGAACACACGCACACTTGCTCTTCTTGAAGCGAGATCGACGATGGGATAATCTCGGCTCGTTGGATGAGCGGGATTACCTTTTTGGATATCACGCTTGGATTTCCATTAAATTATTAGCTTGGCGGATAAGGGAATTGAAACCGACGAGGTTGGATGAAAAGTACGCATAGACCAGGAGAGCGACACATGATCGCGCCAGAACGCATCCGGATGAAAGAGCTTGTCAAGAACAGCCGAAGATTTAGCAGGGTCAGACAGCAACTCTGAAACTGCTGGTACGACAGATCTTGCAACATCCAATGCTTCACCTTCTCGAAATGCGGTGACTAGGTCCACAGACAAGAGCGAACCCGGGAGTTGGTCGATGTGGGATATGGCTTCCATCTGTTCGAGAAAACGATGTCTGGTCACTGGCTATGGAATTGAGGATGGGGCAGTCAAACGAAATATGCGACAGAGCACACGGGGATTGTCGAAAGACAGCCCGGCTCGGATGTGGGCTTCAAGTTGACACGAATTGCCGTGATTAATCCCACGGCACTCCATTTCGGGGTGCTTGCTACCAAAGTCATTTGCGGCCATAAAATTGAGTTGAGGCGTACGACTCCAACAAAAGACATGCTGACGCGTCGGGTTGGTGCTATTGGGTCGTAAACGATTGGAGTTCAGGTTTGCCATTCGTCTGCCAGGTTGCTACCAGTCGCACTATCGAGAGTTCTGAAACAAAAAAGATTATGGCTTTCTAAGTTGATGGAGCCTGGAAGAGGAAGGAGTTCTAGACACGACTGCAAGTTAGCGTCTGTTGGTGAAGTTCGATCGAGCTCCCACGCTTTTGATCTCTTTGAGACGATGTCCCGAGAAATGGAATTTTATTCCACTTCAAGACCAGCTTCAAGACTTCAAGAAAAGAAGATCCGCCAAGGAAGAATAACTCCTTGAATATCGATTTTATCCGGCAACGCCAGAATCCGGTAAGTCAGGGAACAAAAAGCGACACCTGTGCGATTCGAACACACGCGGGGAAACCCCAATGCCTTCGCAGCTTCAATAGCAGGGCATCGCCTTAACCACTCGGCCAAAGTGTCCATGAAAGGATGTCAGCGCTATGCCTCTGATCGGCGGGCTCGGCACTTGGCGGTTCTTGCGCCGCTCCACAAAAGGAGGGAGCGAGAATCAATGTGGAGCCTGTACTTATAGCAGGGCATCGCCTTAATTTAGCCCAAATGTACGTCCATTTATCAACTACTGGTGATATCTGCACCACTGGTGGCCCATTGATATAAGAAATAATACTCAGACGGGCACAAGGATGTGAACGACTGTATTGTATACCTATAAGAAATAATACTGCGTTACAGGTGAGTACGAGAATAATAAATAAGTATAGAGAGACATACCTCAGACGGGCACAAGGATGTGAACGACTGAGGCATGTCTCTGTGTAACGACAGTATAAGTATGGCGGAAAAGACGGAAAGAAACCCGAGCGGAAAGATACTCCGGTCGAGATGGTGGTACAGTGATTAACACAAGGATTGGTCTACACGCGGGAGCGCATCAGGCGCTCACGCGCCGACTATATGGCCAGTCGAGCCACTACTTCAACAATTGACACTCAGAATGAATGGAGGGGAGTAGAATGTGATTTGTTGCTCTCTTTTTGGGCGGAGGGGAGGGGTTTGAAGGAGAGAGTGCCCATGAAACTGATCGGCTTGCTGTAGGCCTGGGGACAACAATCAGTGCGTTGAATTTTCAACTTTAATACCAGAGATCACCTCTTTCATTCCGGACCTTCCAGGAACTTTGCTCGTCCAGCCAGCTGCTTCCGATAAAGCAACATCAACAGACTACCTGACCAAATGCCTTGATATTAGCCGTAAATTCAAGACCATGTCTTGCGGGGTCGTTTGTATAATGCGGAGAAAACTCCGGCCAATTCTTTTGCGACAGCTACAGATTTGCTCCTCAGATCATCGTAGGCAACCTGCCGAGTAGATTCCTTCATCGGCTCGTAGAGCTCCGGCCACGAAGAATGTTACTTGGGACAGTACATCACCCTAATTCAAGTTGGATCCATTTGGTCAGCAGGTTTTTTTTTCTTCACGAAAGCACTCAACGCAAGAGAGAGGTTAGATCTCTCTCCGTCGAAGGTACACCGGTTTCTTGTCATTCCATTTTTCGATCTGTTCTGCTACTGTGAGAGCGGCATTGGGCTTGTGTAGCTTGCGTCGCGGGGCCCACTTGGGGTTCAACAGCTTCACGACATGCGAACAGTTTTTTGACCCTTTCTCTCGGTTAAGACGGTGAGCATCCGCGATTGGTTCTTCGGCAATGTTGTCGATTCGGGCAGAGTGTTCCAAGAGCCTAGAGGTCCCGACAGAGCGGAAACTGTGATCCTCGTGGAGGGCGTGGAGGTTCAGTTCGGGCTTCACACCGATATGGAATGGATTATGCATCTGGCTCTTCAGATATCCAGACCATTTGAAGTTGAACGTCGGAATCGAGCAGTGTTTTGCATGGTTCCCGAAGCGATGATATGAAAGGTGACCGGGTTTGGAGGAAAGGGTTTATTCGGGACTCCGGAGTGACCACCTGGGAGTTCGGTACATGCAAAGACGCGGTCCATGAAGGGTGCCGAAATCAAGGTAAGTATCTCTGGAGGGGGAGGAGTTTCAAGTTTATTGCTCTGTTGCGGTGCTTAGGCAGACCCAATCGATTCGAATAGATTCGAATAGTATATCCCGTTCAACGGAGCACGTTTATTCTCTCCTCACAGGAAGGCTTTGGTCATTTTTCTAGATGGTCCTCAACTGCTTTCGGCATAGTACCCTGTGATAGAATGACATAGACGCGAAGAATGCCGAAATTACAGCACTTGGTTCGCAGGGGACCCGCTGTTCGCCGTCGTGAATTTATATTGGGAGCCTAGGGATTGGTTCTTCGGGAGCGTAGTGTTTGAGATCGCCGCGCCACCAGATTCGGTGACTAGAAGACGAAAGGGAAGGAAATTATTGCAAAATTATTGAAAGACTTGGAAGGCGCGGGTCATCCCGTCCCGGGTTTGCCCGACCTCCCATTCCTGACGATCGTCAGACAACGTGAAGTTCATAACTTCATATGGCCGCGAGGAAGCTAGGCAAGGTCTCGTACAGTCCTGCTAGTAAACCAGACCGCATCGAGGGCTTGTAAATGGAGTAACGTCTGGACTCTGGAGCAAGAATGCTCATCGGCGCAAACACCTCCGATACACTACTGGGCGTCCGGCAAGCTGTATCTCAAGCTGTATCCTCAGGCTACAGCCGTTCTTCGGTCGGTATCTCCACGCTAGCCTGGGCTAGGCTACTCCACTCGCTATTCAAGTTATTGAAAGGCTCGGGCAACGCAACTCGATTCGGATTTTACGGTCATGCAACCCAGAGCCTTCGCATTCAATTCGGAACTCAGTTTCTGTTAACGGAAGGGATTAAATGAAGTTCGCCGCGATTGCTGCCCCGTGCTCAGCGTTCAGGTATAAGCATTCTTGGTTCTTTATTCCATCCGACCCTTGGATTTAATTTCGCTCCATGTCCCATGTCCCGTGCCGTCTGGTAATGCTCGGAACTTCAGTCTGTAACATTCTTGCGCTGGCAGTTATGTATCTCCGTAATTCAGGTATTTTCCCTACCCGGGGCCATGTTACATGTGTTCCGTGCCGGGGTTCAAGTTATTCGTCTTCCACGAACGTACGTGCGTCAAGATTTTATTCCACCCGTCATTCCCCGCGTCACCGTGCGAGGCGAATGAGCATAAATAGGGCGGGGCTCCACCTGGGGGTGATCCGTGCAGTCTGCACGTCGTGAAAACGAGTACCCGGCGAAGGAAATCGAACACCGGGAGATATCATCAACGTGATGGCTATACAGGTATTTGTGGATTTTCGCGGGGCTGTGTCCTTCGGCGTCTAACTGCGAGGGGCGCGAGTACTTGCCCGCAATCCCCACAAAGCCTCCGGTCCATGTATACGTGGATGCTGTTCGTGTTCGCATCCGTACGCGGTTAAACCTCGCGTGTCCGCGCGACTGGTGTGGCCACGAGGGATTCAAGTGCGCGGGTGCAGTTACGGTCGTGCTGCCCAGGAGGTTAAATAATAAGAGAGATGTTGGACATGTAATAAGAGAGAATTGGGTTGCATTGGCCTTTGGTGGTAGCAACTGTGAAAGATCGTGTCAAGAAAACAAAAGGAAATTGATCTGTGGGCCCGCGTGCCCCAAACCAGACTTGTGCTTCTCCGTTATACTACTACTACCTCCTGGGTTGTTCAAACTCTGCTTTTACGCCTTCTTAGTATCCCTTCTCCTCGGAATCGCCAAGGAGCCCGGCCCTAGCGCTGGACCCGTGAGTTTTTCGATTCTGCCTCGAGGCAGCGGGACCGTGGCCGCGTTCCACCTGGCATGCAAGCGAGCGTGCCCACTCTCCCCAGTGCGAGCTCGAACAAGTTCAGCACTGTGACGGACCCCCGCCGCAAGCTACGCACACAGAGACCACCCACCGCAGAGTTTGTCTTCGTCGACTCTGACGTCCCCTCGGACCCCAACACGATGGACCCCGCCACTGCCCGCCGCCCGCCCGTTCGGATGAACCCGCAGGACGGCCCCTGGAGCGTGAGCGTCGCAGAGACACCCGACGACCCCCGCTCCTATAGTCTTTACATAAAGAGTCAGTCTTTTCAGCTAGTAAATCGAGCCACTCTGTAACTTTAACTAGCCCCGACCCACAATCTCACTCTTACTCGCACCGCCGCCGAGCTCGTCGACCTCGACCGCAAGCTGCGCGAGGCGTACCCGACAGCCAATCTGCAGGAGCTGCCGATCGACGCATCTGGCCCGCCGAAGCGCAAGACAAAGTCGACCTTTCTCAACACTCTTTCACGTCTCGCGTCCCCCAATACAAACCGTGCTAATCGCCGGCCCACGCCCCTCACGTCCCCGCAGACCGAGGCAGGCGACCCCTTCATCGACGCAGCGCCACCCACCAGCCAGCCTGTGTCCGCTCTTGCGGCGTATCTGACCACAGTCAGCAACGCGCCTGCGATGCGCCAAGCTCGCCCGTGGAAGCGCTTCGTCCGCGTACGCACAGACGACCTCGAGAGCGTCCGTGTCGAGCGCGCCATCAAGCGCGTGCGCAGCGACCTCGCGTCCCATACTGGTGGTGGATTACGCAACAAGGACAAGGAGAATATCGCTGTAGAACAGCCGGTCGCAGAGGATATCCCGCCCACGCCTGCGACGGATGCTACCGTTACTTCTACTGCCGTTGTCGCCGCAGAAGTCGAGGTCGCACCGCCACCCCCCGAGGCGGCCCTCGCCGCACCCGAGCAGGCCCGCATCCCCCGCTCCCAATCCGCCGACCCGGACAAGTCATCTAGGTTGTCCCGCGCGTTCACCAACCAGGACGAGCAGACCGACCCCGAGGAGCTCACGTCCTCACGTGAGACGGACGACTCATCCATCTCCACCACGGGCCACGACGCCTCCGCCCCCAAGAAGCGCGCCTCCAAGAAGAAGCTCCGCGCCTTGTCCGTCGGGCCGCGCAAGTCCACACGCAAGGTCGTCATCGACGATTTCGAGATGATGCGCGTGCTGGGCAAGGGCTGCGCGGGCAAGGTCCTCTTGGTCAAGCACAAGACTAGCTCGGCGCTGTATGCGCTCAAGGCGATCACGAAGCGGCATGTGCTCGCTCACCAGGAGCTCCAGCACACGCTCACGGAGCAGGCGGTGCTCAAGCGCATGGCGGCCGAGGGCGCGGACCCGTTCGTCGTCAAGCTGTGGTGGTCCTTCCACGACAAGGAGAATCTGTTCCTCGTCATGGACTTCCACCCCGGCGGTGACCTCGCGACGCAGCTCGCGCGCTGGGGCCGGCTCGGGCGGGACCGCGCGCGGTTCTACGCGGCGGAGATCGTCGAGGGCGTCGAGGGGCTGCATGCCGCGGGCGTTATCTACCGCGACTTGAAGCCGGAGAACATCCTGATTGGCGGAGACGGGCATATCGTGCTCACGGACTTTGGGCTGAGCAAGGAGTTCCCGCGGAGGACGACGGCGGCGACGGC